TCCTGCTGTGAGATTTCACAGTAAAATCTATGTGAGTGTCATGCATGCTACAAATGCTGAACTTGGGGTGTGCTTCAGGCTGCCACCAGCAAGGGCAGCTGGAAATGGTTCAAGAAAGGCCAGATTCAATTTTACATTCATTCATGTATATTTAAAAAAAGGATCTCAAAGCAGACAGGATTTAGTACTTAAGTCACCGAGGCTCCAAATTTATCAGTTTTTAGGAGAAAAGCAGCTGCATTTCTCACTATTGCTAGACATATTCGTAAGGCAGAGCACATGGTAGCTACTGGGGAATGCATGTGTCAGGGGTTACAATGACCTCCAGAGCTGCACAAGTGTGCCTGCACATCCCCTGCCCTGGCCACGCCAGAGGGGCTCAAGTGCTGGATTCGGAGGGGTGTGAAAAGTGGGGGCCGTCATTTAACTCCTAGCACCCGATCTATACCAACCAGGCTATGTTGAGGGACTGCAAATGATTTTTGAGACCGAGACTCATGTTTTACACATGTTCTCTGGAGAATAGGAGAGAATCAAAACTGAAGCGATTTCCGGGTGTTTAGGGAGATGGTCTTCTGATATTTAACTAAGACGACTTTAATGGCATAAGTTCAAGGGACAGCAAACATTGTCAACTTTTCAACTGGTACATCCTGACCTATTTATTTGTGTTTCATCCACTTGTACTTATACTCTAAGCCATCTTTAGGTAAATATTTACTGATATTTTGTAAAGAATTTGATCATTGATGTTTGAAAATGGAAATCAAGGAATAAGTCATTTTAGCATATACAGTAGTATAGAAAACCCCGGGGGTTCTGTGGCAAGTACCCAGCTTCCCTTTCCTCTTCTGAGTTTGATTATTGCCCAGCTTGAAATTTGCTTTGAAATCCTATTACTATTAAATAGGCATTGAATATTATTGTTGCTATTCATTATTACAAAACCAATGAGAGATGAGTTTGCAGAGATGACATTCACTATTTTGCAGCAGTCAGCTGTCGCAAATCCACTGGGTTTCACAGAGTTACACTGTTGTATGCCAGCTGAGAATTAAATTAATTAATTAATTAATCAGATCAGCAACTGAGGTGCTGTTAGACTGCTGTAGGGTACCTTCAATTCCATGTGAATATATTACTGAACTGTATGATCATGCTTGGTGAAGTATGTTTAATATAAAATGAAAGAGAAAGTGTGAAAATGAAACTTAAGAAATGAATTTGACAGTGTAAGGACATACTTGTTTATCTTGGGTCAGGACTTGATTATGCAAATACCAAGTCAAGGCCAGGCACAAAGTCTTCAACAGTTTGTCCCTGAGTAACCACTGCTCTCTGATGAATAGATGTCCTTGTTCTGGGTGCTGAGATTTAGACATTCCAGTGGACTTTTCAGATGAGTGAATGCTTCAGTTAATATTCTATGTTTCTGGCATGTGTCACAATTTTAAGACTCCAAAAGTCTTGGGACGAGAACAGTTCAAATCTATAGTGGTTTCTGAGATAGAACCAAATATTTAAAAAATCAAAAACTGCACTGTTCCAACGAATTTAAGGTATTTTGCAAAAGAGGAATGGGATTTGTCTTGATTCACTGTCTCCTTGCCAATAAAACTTGTATGAAAAAAAGGTAAATATTTAAATGCTATTTGTTAACTATAGTAAACTACTTTTGGGGATATTACATTTCTTAAATTCATTAAAACTTCACAGGGCTATATCAATTCACTTTACAAGCCTTTAAAATATAACAAGACTGCACAGAGTGTGTTGAAAATCCTGTAGAAGTGTTGTAAATGTTCTTTCTTTCTGTTGTAGAGCAGCAAAATAAGGTTAAATTACACTTTTTGTGGATTAAGTTAATTGCTAAATGTTTTACTGGAATGTACAGGATTACCTTTACAAATCTACTAATTTACCCTTTGATCACATTAGAATTTAACTGAAAAAAGTGTAATTCCAGTTCATAATAACAAAAGCAGAGAATAAAACAATTAGTTTCAGTGTGCTCTTTAATTCTTTAATCACCCAATTTGATTGCTAGTACAGAAGTTCAAAGGCCAAAACTCCAATCTTTTTCCAATACCGTTAAGGCCTTGATTTTACATGCAGTGATACATATCCTTAACTTTGAAAAGATGAGCTATCCCAAGGACTTCTATATTTTCCATGACTTTTGAAATTTTCCAAGAAGCAGGAAGTATTTTTAACAAAAATGACTGTTAAGCTTTCTCTGACCACTTTTTTCATTTTGATGTTATGTCACCATATTCTCAGAATGGGTGAAGCCTAATAACATCCTGCAATATAATAGTCTGATACACATTACAGTGTAATAGCTGCCATTAATGATTGTAAATCTAAGATAAAAGATTGCAATAGTAAACTACAGATGATGCCATAGCATATTTTTTTTTCACCTTGAGGACAGTCATGCACTGAAACACATGGCCCAAAGTGATCACCCAGTCTCCATCCCTGGAAGTTTTCAAGACCTGGCTGAATAAAGCCCTGAACAACACGGTCTCATCTCAGAGCTCTCCCTTTTTTAAACAGGAGGTTGGTCTAGGAATGACCAACCTGGGGGGAGGGAAGAAAAAGAAAACACACTTTCCGAAATGTCAGAATTCTGAAACAATATTCCAAAATGTATTCCATGTTTTTCTAAATGTTTCAATCACAGTGATATGAATACTTTGAACTAAAAAATAATTCAGATTAAAATTTTTTAACAGACTTGTTTCTGACTCTATCAATTTTTCTCCAGAAATAGCTTGCAGGACCTGAACTTTGGTTCACCACTGACTTTTTATATTCCCTGTTTTTCAAGGGATAAAATGATATTTCTTTCCAGGAACGAACACTGTATTCCTGACAGACTAAAAACTGTAACTAAAACTTGGGCTGATACAAAAAAGTTAAAACTTTTGTGATTCTAGGAAGAATGCCAATATCCATTTTAAAGGTATAAATTCAAGCTGGGAATATGCAGTTGGATGAAAATAATTTTTTTCTCCTGAAAATAGTTGGAAATAAATCCTTTTCTTGGCTACATAATATAAACTAATGCCATTGGGTATGATTTAAAATTAAACATTCTTCTTCTGAAGACAGTCTTAGGAGATTAATTAATCTTGATGAATTCAATAACTTGTTTAGGAAATAACTTCTTAAACACCAGCACTAATAATGGAAACGGCTGTTTCTTGTTCACCATTTTGGATGGTTGTTATTTTTTAAGTGTCAGCATTTTTATCCCTATACTGTCATAGCAATTCTTATGAACAAACAGGAGAAAAAGACAGTTAAGATGGTTAATAGCAGCACAAAGTAAGACCCTAGTTTTCCTCTTACTCTGAGATAGGAATGGCCTCAAGAAGATTAGAATCAAAGAGGAAAGTTCCCCAAGACATGTACAGCAAGCTTACTTCCAAGCCTTAATTCTTTAAGCAATTTTTAATATTTCTGATTTATTTTTAAAAACTCTTATAAGGCAGTTAGGTTGGAATTGCACACAGGTGGTTGCTAAAATCAAAATACAAGAAGACATAAGAAACTAAATAATTTTAAGTGAGATGGGATGAAAGGCAGGGTAAGAGCAACAGGAACAAGATCACACTGGCCAGTTACTGGAAAAGGAACTAATTATAAACCTGTCATATAAAGTAATATGATAAATTGACACTGGCTTTTCACATAGACATACTAATTGGAGGCTTTACTAGCTCTAGCACTTTTAAAAAAATAAAATCCATAATTTATTAATGTACAAAAACTAACGTAAATATTCTTACTGAAAAATGAGAGAGAGCAACTTCATAACCTATCAATGCTGCCTACTGCTACTACAGCTGGTGGACACCCATCCTCAGCTCTAGGCTTCTCCTGAACTTCTCCCTCTCTAGACAAGATGATACAGATATGTATGCTTATGCATACTGTGCTGTGAGGTACTGGAGCATTGACAACAAATACAACAAAGGATTTTTCTTTTAGATCTGAACTGGGACAGATTTGAAGTATGTGACTGCTGTATGATCAGGGGCCATACTGCCCAACGGTATGCACTCACTGCGCATATCTACATAAGTCAACTTGACCAGGAAAAGGTCAGACTTTTGACTCATGCTACCAGCTTTCTTGGCCAGCACTCTCCAGGAGCACAACACGACTGTCTGGCATTCAGAGCATGCAAGAGTACATTCAGACTAACAGAGGAATACTTTTTACACAGCCAAAAAAAATGAAAGCACGAAAGTTATTTCATCTTACCATTTCACCCCTTGTGCCCTTTTCACCTCTCGGTCCCTGTAAGAAAGAGAAGCTGTTAATCCAGTATGCTTTCTAGCTGCCTAGGCCTGAAATAAGCAAATTAATAACCACGAGAGTTATACTGCTCACATGAAAAGTCCAGCCTCATCTGTGGAAGTATTTACAACTCTGGGGCTTTAATTTTTCTGTACTGTTAGAAAAATTAATTACTTGAAAACATCTTGTAATTCCTATAGGTAGAAAACTGACGGTTTCCTTCAGATTGTAAATACGTTTTTTCTCAGTAATTTTAACTGCCAGCGTTCTCACTCTCAATCAGCTGTACTCTCTACAATTTGATCCACAGCAACAGATCAGCACTTCACCATCTTAAGAGTTCAGAACAAAACCTGGTACTCTCCGTCACTGAAGAAATCCATCAGTTAAACATCTGCTTTTATTACCCCATTAGTTCTCCTCTCACAGTCAGATTAGACTGTTCTTCTCTCTCCGTGGCATTTGTAGCTAGCTTAAACTGTCTTTCCAAAGACAGTAACAATATTACAATTCTTCTCTAGAAGAATTTTGCATCTTGATGGCAGCATTTCATAACACATAGAAGTAATCTTCAGCTGTAATGCTTTCTTAATGATAATGGCAAACTATTACATTCAATATGAAGTCTATTAAGAACCTTCATAAAATATAGGCAACTGTAGAATTTTCCTCCTGAGTGGGATTGAAAAGAGTGCAGCAAGACTTCAAGTGCTGTCTTTTTCCCAACAGGCGGAAAGAACAGTCTAATTATAGAAGGAACATTTCCTTTCTCCTTTTTCCCTTGTAAAAAATTGTATTTATTACTTTTATTTTATATTACTATTATTTTAATGATTATTATTTCAATTTTTAGACATTCTCATTCACTCCAAGTCTTGTTGATCAGACAGAGGAACTTGCATGGTACAAAAAGAGCTTCTAGAACTACCTTACATGGCTGGGTAGTCTGCAGATAGGAGCCAGAGGGTGCCCTTGCAGAACACTCCTCTATCTCTGGCACAGGGAGTGCAACAAGGGATGGAAACAGGGATGAGAGCAGAGCTCTCCCACTACAGGGAACCTGGGGAACATTGGAGGTTGTCAGAAAGGCCAAGAAGATGTTTGAGTTGTAACAGGGACCTCACCAGCACCTGGAACATCCCAACAAAGTCTTGCGGGCACTCCCAGCATGTCTAGAGGGGAACTCTGGACAGTTTAGCCCAATCAACACAACAAAAATAAACTCAATTGAAACCAAGTGTGGATACTTGCTAAATATGTCTCAGACCTAAGGCTGAGAAAGAATATCCATGTGGTAGTTACTATGTCCTGTTTCATACCTTGACTTGCCTGCCACCCCTGTGGACATGCTCTCTGTATACTGTACTTAGACAGAAGGCCATTGCAATGACTCTTCTGTCATTGTTTTTTTTTTCATTTTTTCCCTTGTTTGTATCACAGATGCTGGAGTCGGGTATGTTAGTTCACCAGCATGGTATAATATGAAGACTACCTAGCTGCTAGCTGCTATTTGTAAATGGAAAAATGAGAAGGTTGCTAATTGCAAAACAGATTATTAAAAAATAGGGTAGGTGAAATAACCAAATTATGCAAAAGAGAAGGGAAACTTACAGGCCTGCCAGTTGGGCCTGTTATGCCTTCTTGACCAACAGGGCCAATATATCCCTGTAAATAAGCAAAGAATTTATTAGTCCATTATGTTTTTAAAATGAAGAAACTCCTCATGACGTGTCCTGGTTTAAAGTTGCTCAGCAGACAGTCCTGGAAAATATCCAAAAAATCATGGTGATATTCCCTTTCTGAATAGTGAGTGCATATTGCTACAAAATCAGCAAGGTAATTATTGTAATAATTAGTAATAGTTATGCTTGGAAAGCCCACACACATTCTTTTACGTGAAAGTTGATGCACTAAAACCAGTGGAAACTTAAGTACTTTGATTACCAAAGACCACATATTTACTGAGCTACAATCAACTATATCTTGATCTATATTATTGCCCACAAGTACTCTTGTAAGGCTGCCAGTAAGTACTGCTAAAATGTTACTTTCCTGTCCCATTTCACTTAGAGCAAACTGCTAATTTCCAGTGTTTATCTTGTATAGGAATGTTTAGAAGAAGAAAGCTGCTATTAGAACAGGCCCCTAAAACTGCTGCTCTGCATCTGGTTAACTGAATTAATTCAGTTCTGTGATGGTAATGGCAGCAGTAAGAGAAGAACATTTTGTAGTGAGGCCTTCCATGCTGCAACCTTTACCCCTTTTTCACTTGAGGCTGTAAGCTGGATGCACACTCCCCAATATTACAACATACTAAAGATGCTTCCACATTTTTGGTGAGTAGCAAAGTAGAATGTCATGAAGAAGGTGTCATGAAGAATGAACTAATGCAAGTTAGTAACCTAATAGATAAAAAGAAAATACATATTAAAAAAGACTACCTATTAATCAATAATGCCTGCGCACCACTCTGTCTTACTGAAGGCAAAGTTTAACCCTTTTTTGTTTTGCTGTAGGACAGAATTATACAACCAGCATTGTTGTCAGTAAGAAGAAAGAGAATGTTCAACCCCAACAAAGATATGGCAGCAATAAGGATACTTGTGTAGATAAAATTACACTAGGAGAGCCACAGTTTGTCAGCAGAGTTTCGTTTTTTCCTTCAAGATTGAGAGCCTATCTGTGCTGCAAAGAGCTTCTAGTGGAGCCATAGTCTCAGAGAGAAAGGTTTGGATAGAGGGTTCTTGCCTTCTTAATAAGAAAAAAGACAATTCCCTAAATTAAAAACATGTGCCACTTGCAAGCCATTCTGACAATCTCTTTCACGGAATGGAACACTTACAACTTGGCCTGTTGGACCTTTCGGGCCCAGAATTCCAACTAAGCCAATGTCCCCTGCAGGGCCCTGAAAATGCAAAGGAACAGTTTAGTCAAACATGAACATTAGCTATCCACTTGTTTCAAGCTCTTGTAATCAGTGGAAATAAGATAATTTCTAAGAACAGTAACAGTGAAAATACCAAGCGCACTGACCTAGAACATTCGTCTTTGGACATAGAGTACATATTTCTGCCTACAATGTTCCAACAGTTCAGATAGATTTTGAACAAATTATTGTTAAAGCTGATTAATTCTGTGCTTTCCTAATGTTCTCACTCTGTAAATGGCTTAAGATCTAACAGAAAAGAATGAGCACATACTTTTGGACCTGGGAATCCTTGAAACCCCATCAAACCTTGATCTCCATCTTCTCCCTGTAACAAGAGCAGGCAACCTTATTATTTCACATTGTTAACTCTTAGGCTACTTGTTTTGCATCAACAGCTGTGATTACATACAGTCTGTCCTTTCAGTCCAGCGTCTCCTGCTTGTCCTTGGTCACCTTGTGATCCTGGAAGGCCTCTTTTGCCTCGCTTTCCTGGAGGACCCAGAAGCCCTTTCTCACCCTATCAATAGGAACATAATATATCCTTTATTACAATTATGACAGTTATAAATGTAAAGATTGGTTTCCTGGCAGAAGTGTGGAACATGCTTTCTCTCTAGGATAAACCCACTCTATTAATTTTATTTCCATCAGGAATGCTTTCAATAATTATACTTTCACTAAAATGCAAATGTGACTTGACCCTTCCTTGACTTGTAAACATACAAAAACCACACATATTGGGTCATTTCCAGTATGGTATCTCCCAATGCAAGAACTAAAATGCAAAAAATTAAATACAGAAGAGGAAGGTTAGAAGTAAATTTAAAAACTAATCCTCTGAGCAAGTCATAGTATAGTTGTGGAAGTCCTTCCTGTTATACTAAATGTTTACATCGATTCAAATGGGAACTAGTCAAGTTCATGCAAAAGAAATCCTCTGAGGACTATCAAATACATAGAACCCATGTCTAGCTCAGGAGGTTACTGAGCTGTGATTAAGGCTGGGAATATCACAGAATCAATAAGGTTGGAAAAGACCTTTAAGATCATCAAAAGTCCAACCACCAACTCAACGATCAACCCAACCCAAACCAATCCAACACCACCAAGCCCACTAAACCATGTCCCGAAGCACCACATCTACATGTTTTTTGAACACTTCCAGTGATGGTGACTCCACCACGTCCCTGGGCAGCCTGTTCCAATGCTTGACCACTCTCTCAGTAAAGAAATTTTTCCTCATATCTAGTCTAAGATATACCCCTTTTATGCTTGCTTTGTGCTTATGCTCTTTTCTAGGTGTTAACCTTTCTGCTCAAAGACAGACAGACTTTTGGCCTGACTCAGTATGTCCCCTCTTAACGTTTATTTTGCACAATGTGGTAACTGCTTTCCCTCATCTCACATATTCCCTGTCTTTTTCAGATTGCAAGCATTTCTGAGCAGGAACTACCTCCTACAGCTCATTGTCTAGACAAAGGAGTAAAATCCAGACTGGGAGCCCTAGCAATAAACACTGCAAATAGTGAATACAGTTTATACTAAAATATTTCCATGAAAAGATAACAAAGACACTGTTTCCCTCCCCCAGTTTTCAAGTAACTTAAGGCTTTAAAAACTGCTTACCAATAAAATCTCAAGAGCATTGCAAATCATTATTTTACATGAAAAATCATATTCTAAATGGAGAAAATTATCTGTAATGTTTCCATTCTTTGCTGAATGAAATTAGTCTAACTAATATTATCAGTAGCAGCTGAGGATATGCTGATGTCAGGTACCTGGAACTGCCTGGAAAATGAAGCACTCACAGATTTCTTTCTTTTTGAACATGAACGGTTTAAGTCCTATGATAAATGAACATCCCAGACATGTTTGTTAGGCTCCAACCTTGGGACTCAGGCTTGAAATTACAGTATTTTTCTGCTAATAGATTGCTTAGATGTTCAGATGTTCAAATCATCCAGACTGTTCTAGTAGTTACAGAAGTTTAAAAAGAAAAGTCAGGAATCATTTGGCCTTAAAGCTTTGGATGAATAAATACAAAGCATTCTGAATGACTTCTGGATTTGAGAATAGCATCTAGATGGATGGGAACTCTGTTTCCAAATTACAGTTTATAGAAACGAGGTCAACACAACTCACAGTCTTATCCTTCAAGTAAGTTTTGATGTCAGTTACTCATATGAGTAACAGTAGCATGGTGGTTCCACAATCACTAGATGCAGTATTAAGACTACACAATATCAGTAACACTGTACTTAAACAACAAGATTCCACATATGTACCTTTAGTCCGGGTGCTCCCATGGGCCCTGGCATGCCTGGCAATCCCTTGGGACCTCGAGCTCCAGGATAACCTGCCAGACCTGGTAAGCCTGAGTTTCCTTTATTACCCTTAAATTGAAAACAACTGATTACGAGCAGAACAGCCAAACATGTTTTTTCATTGTATGTTAGAACAGGTATGTAGCATAAAAATCAAAGCGACTTATGCTTTCTGTATATATGGACAGACAATAATCAGCAGTATCATCTGAATTTCTGCTAATACTCCAAAAGCAAAGCCCCATCATACTTAGCAACAAAGCTACGTGTGCTTTAACTGTGCAGTGGATTGAGATTTCTGAGGAGTCTAGTTATTACAGTTTAACAAGTCACTGACTGTCAGCAAAGCAAATGCTAACCATGCCATAGCCCATTGCAGTTGTTCAGTTCAGAGTTCATCTTAATCCTTGTTCTGTCCTACCTTAAATATATCATGATGTCATTTGTGTGGGATCACCTACTGAGACCTTGAAAGATTTCTGAGAACATTCAAGAGAATGAATTGCCTCTTTGTGTTTATGCAAGGTATCTTCTCTATTAGCACCCTCCTAAATAGGAATATTTGCCTGGTTGTTTAGTAGGCAATCTTTTGTCCACACTAATTGTGCATTCAAGTATATATGGAAGCACTCATGGCCATAGAGTGACTGCTTTTACCTCCCACAGGGAATTGCACAGAATAATTTATGAGAGACCTAAAATTTTTCCCAAACCTGAAAATTTCCATGTTCAGGTTAATAGCGTTTAGCACTGATCCCTATTTAATATTTTCTAACTCTATTTTGAAATATGCAGGAAGAGAGCACTGATCTCTGTTAATTATAGAAGATGACTCCTTGAGATGGTTCTTGTATGAGTGTTGTGTGATGTCTGAGGATTCTGAGCTTACAATAAGGAGCTCCTTCTGATGAAAACAAGATGCTGGATTCATTCATTACAGATGGGCTGAAAATATAGTTGAGATTCACAGTATTCATTTTTTCAAAAAGGAACTCCATATCAAGAAACAAAATGAGACTACCTTCCCAGAGAAATATACAAAATTCAACATGCTTATTTATAAATACCAGACATACTGATATTAGTCTGATTGTTTGCACTCCATAGGGATTCATATACAATAACTTCACCACATCAAGAATGATCAGAACATTTGTTATGAAAATGTATGAGAACATCAGACAATCAACAAAAGCAACTATTTTTAACGAAAAAACATGTTACTGAGTACATGGAGTTAATTCAATTTTGACATGTTAAAAAATACAAAATGGAAATTTGCTACCATCCAAATGAATGTTTCTGTGATAGCATTTAATAGAAATATATATACTTCATATGATATTCTGTTTAGCATTCATAGAAATAAAAGGGTTACAGGAAACAGGATTTTTATATTAAATATGATTTTCAGTCCTTTTGAATATGGTACTGTGGCTTATAACCTGATGGACTGATAAACTTATATAGGGGAAGTTCTGTTCTTTTTATTTATTGTGGCAAAAATCACAAATAAAGCTTCTCTTTATTATAAATTGTAATGCTACTCTATATTGTTAATATGGAATAATGGAATCTTGTTTAATATGAAAGATGATGTTTTCAGTCGAAAGGCAAAAATGTAAGAATTCTTTAGGGTGATACTTCTAAAACCAACTCTGAAGAATTTTAAGTACTTGAAAGAGAAGGACATTATCTGAAAACAGAGAAGGCACGAACAGGGTACATCTTCCTCCTACAAGTAACTTGTTTAATTTCTCTTTGTTCAACCAGATAGGCAAATTTATACTTGTAATAGAGGTGCCTCATTTGGCACCTTGATTAATTCCTAACACCAAATCTAACTTGGCATCCTCTTATAACAATTACTGGTCCATCTAACTAGAATACTGAGAAATACCATACCTGAAATCAAGCGCTCAGACTTTCAATGACAACTACTAAAGGAATTTGCTCCCTCCTCTCTGGAGTGAATAAGTGAAAAGCTGTGTCACTATTCCCAGAAGCAACAGGTCACCACCCTTGGCCCACAGCAAAGCACAGACAGACAAAAAAGCTGTTTCCAAGAATGTTCCCAGCTACCTCAGATACGCAATATTCTTTTTCACTGGTTTTGGGCAAAGCTTCGGAGAGACAGGTAGAGAGAGAGATTCAAAGCCAATAAAGAAAATGTGGGATTATCTCGGGGCCTGAGAGGAAACAGCTTCTGCTGGGGTCTATGGCTCATTTTCAGGAACACAACTGTGAAGCCTCTCTCATTCCAAAAGCATTTTCACTTAGCTGTAGTTACTACTAATGTATGCTAATGAAAGAGTTCTCACAGCACACTTCCCTTATGCTAACCTTACATCCTGGCCAGAGTACCAGGAGCAAAAGAGAAAAACAACAATGAATTGGTGTAATTTTCAAGATGTTCGAGGAACTGAGAATGGTTCCTTCTGTTTAAATACCCTAACCTTAGAAAATTTGTAATGCAAAATGACATAAAGAGGGGCAATGTGGAAAGGAACTTACCTTAGGGCCAGGCTTCCCTGACAGCCCAGGCTTGCCAGGGTTGGCAGGAATGTTTGGAATGCCTTCTGGTCCAGGGTACCCGACTGCTCCTTTCTGCCCTGCTGGCCCTGGTTTTCCCTTGAAACAAATTCAAACCAAATATAGCACTGTCAGCTCTCTCCCCCTTCACCATCACAGAACTAGATTTCAGTCACAGTATTTCCCAAACCCTACATAATAACAGACCCAGTGACACGGATGAATACTCGCCGAGGGGGCTCTGGGTTAGGATGTTTGGTTTAAAACACTATTGGCTTAACCTTAGACTTGCTGTGTTGTGGGCTCTGAGCAACTTCAGCTGAAACCATGGGGCCGACCCCTCTGCGTGCCAGGCCTGGAAGATGGCCGAGTGTGTTGATTCTTAAACTGATGCAAGGAAACCTAATAAAGTATTTATTTTTCCCTGTAAAAAACGCAACCATATGTCTTTTCAGCCTTCATTTTACTAGATACTCTCTATCATGCATTTGCAAAATTATGCTGTTCAAATTTGTACATATCAAATATACACACAAAAATCTAATTAGACAAGTTTGTGCTAACTGTTGCTATACTTGCACAGAAAAGCCTCCTGTCACATCCGCCAAAGGAACAATGATTTTTTTTTTCCTTTACAATCATTTCCCTTTAGACTGACATACACTATCTTAAGGGGCTTTGAGTTCTGCAATTATCTTGGTGTGAATGCATATCTTAGAAATTTAAAATATGCTAACTACAACACATCTTATTTGAAAAAGTATAGTTAACAACAGCCATACAGAACATAAGAAACATGCCATCTTAATCTTATTTCTAACTTCTGCTTGCTGAAGTATCTTGCACTTGGGATGTGCTTTGAGAGTTCCTCAAGTTCCAGTTTTACTGTCTTCTCCTCACTGTATGCTGAACAATATGCTCTCTGCAGTCCTCCAGAGAGAAGAGCTAAGTATTTACAAAAGACGCACAGTTTGCTTGCCTTCAGAAGGCTATTCTTGCACTCTGCCCAGCAGGTACAAGCTCTGTGAAGCAGCTGCATTTCTCTGGCTACTGACAGTGTTTTGATATAAGGTAGTGAAAGTTATTTACAATATGTGCTTGTGTGGTATTATTTATTAGGGGACCAAAAGAGACTTGATGCATTTTGTTCTTGGTTATGTGTAAAGAACACCTATTGCTTCCTGCTCTTTCTTCTCCCTCGAAGGGAAAGGGATGCAAGTTAGCATCTCTACAGTAACTCAAGGAAGAGCATTAAAAATTTAATCTCAGGGCAAGCGAAAGAAAGAAGTAAACCTCAAGGGATCTGCCAGCCATATCCATCATGGACATATGGATCCAGGCTTCTGTAGGCTGCAGCTGTTCAAAGGACTGATGGGAGCCAGGACTGAATAGTAGTACAGCTCTGTGCAATGCAATGTGATAACTTGCACATGGACTACAAGCCACATGCAAAAATGATCTAATTAAGTAACTTTACAAGTGGCAAGGCACTTCCATGTGCTGAGTAACTGAGTATAATTCAGTATAATTTAACATACTTTCAAAAATTGTTCTTATTTTCACAGGGGTTCCTTTACACTTTCTGGATAAGAAGGTGGTTCTTTAGAGTGAATGTAAGACTTTCTGGTACACTGGCATGACTCAATTTTGGTTTTATTAGTTATTTTCTTTGTTTTATAACCTGAAGATAGACTGTAGAATTCTGTTACTTACAGGAATTCCAGGTTTGCCCGCCTGACCCGTTGTTCCTTTCTTCCCTGTGGGTCCCTAAAAGTTACAAATACTTGTTAACTGACCAATGTCTTAAACTCAATTCCCTAAGAAGAGCTGAGAATCATTCCCCTTTAGTATGTGTGTTCACCTTGCCTGGCTTTGGACCAGATTTTTTCGATTTCGAGAGACACCAGAAAGTTTTTTGAGTAGAATTGAATACATTTTTGGTAGAATTGTATATATTTTTCCCTTTCCCAAGTTGGTACAGTGTAGTTTTCAGAACTTTTTTCAACAACAGTAGACACGAAAAAATTTTCACTATGAATCTGGCAATTTCCCCTCTATCAGCCACACCTCTGTAAGGAAGTATGCTTTTACAGCACTTCCTACCTTTTAAGAAGAGAAGTCATGAAAATTAGTAGGCAAGGTAGCTGCACTGAGTGTATGTGGAAGAGAATACCAGAAAACAATAGTATCACACATGGGAACATTCTTTTTATTTAAGATGTACACAAAAGATAAAATATACTTAAAATCAGAGGTTTTTTTGGTCTTGATCGATCTAAGAATCTGTAGTTTTAGAAAACTGAGAGATACTGATAGCAGATAACATTCTCTTAAGTGGTTTGGTGACACAGGAAGCCAAGCACCAAGGAAGAAAAGCTCAGAATGGGTCAAAAGCATCTCAGAGAATTTTGTTTATAGGCTATTCTTCACAGAATATAAAGATCTATAGCATGAATTTTATCCTTCCTCTAAAAGATAAAGCCAGTTGGACAGCAGGGACAAGAATAACACTTTTTAGTGTAGCTCAAATAGAAAAAAGCTTCCAAGATTTTCTGGATCGATTATTTTAAAACCTGTTCTTAAAGCAAAAGTGATGCTATACTACCATGCTGCAATATTGCATAACATTCAATAAAGTGAAAAAGCTAAGGTCATTGTAAGTGTAAATGTTTTATAATTAGTGTAAATATGATAACATCAGTAAAATTTTGTTCTATTCCTTAATTTAATGTCTTTTTATTAAGAAAGGCATAAAAAAAGTCCACCAATCAGAACTGGAATGTGTATATTCAAAGAACTTTATATTGTTTTCATTAAAATTTCTGAATGCATATAAAGTAAACCCAGATGTTTCAGCATTGGAGTTTATGAGATTTGCTTGGTAAGGCTTGCTATAGCAGCACCAGTCATGCCACTGGAGTTAGACTGGATGAATGTTTTCACTATTAATGTGTTTGTGTAAACTTTTAGGCTCTTATAAGTTGCTTCAGGCTGGATATTGGTTCCACATTTGCAAATGGCAGTTTTAATCTGAGGGGCATTTGCAACACAAAGTGAAAGAGAGGAATGACTGATTTTATGCTGTGCTGTCGGTAGTTTATCAAAGGCAATATATCTGAGCTCATAGTTAGAGCACATGCTGACAATGTCTTCACATCATGTTTCCTTTCTCTTGCTCCCCATTCCTAAACTGCTACAGATCCTTGTATTTACGTAGAAAATTTTGAAACTCTAACTATGCTATGGAACTTCTCAGACAAAATATATCATTTAAGTTGCAATGGGCAATTGGCACTGTAAGAAATCTTTTAGCCTAAATCTTTTGAAACCTCAAAAGCCAATGAAAGTCACCCCATGGGAGAATATAAAATACTTTTGGCAATTTTCAACATGCCACCAAGATGAATTATTATTTCTAAAGGACGAGATTTAGTCTTTGATCTTCTTCATGACTTGCTCTGTCATTATTCCTCTAATATTCTGTAGCAAATTCCTTATTTCCAGGTCTCTGAAAATTCAGTACAGTGCAGGACCAGGAGGCTTCATTTACAGATCAGAGCCGTAAAATCCTTGGTGCCTTCCAGAGCTAGTTTGCCACAAGGAACTCCATTTAAGGGTATAATTGAATATCACTCAAATTTTTCCAAAAGAGCATCTCATCTCCAAAGTAAAACTGCTTGTCTATCAAATAACACATATTTGCTATCCCAGATAATTATGCAGTTTTCCATTCTATATTTTTATTGTCCCTGCAGGTATGAAAAGGAAACCCAAACACTGAGTTTTAACCTTATATAACAGTTTTCCAAGAATAGTCAGTAAACAGTAAAAACATACAAGTTCCAATAAAGTGTTTTGCTTTACTTTTTTCTACTTACTTCTGAACCTCTTTCTCCTTTTGGTCCTTGCTCTCCCAATTCACCTGGCTCTCCCTTTGGAAAGAATGTATATTAAATAAATAAATAAAAAAATCATGTGAATGCAGATGACAATGCATTTTCAACACCCAATAGAGAAATTTCACTTGTTTGAAACACTTACTGGAGGGCCCTGTTGTCCAATAGGTCCTCTAAGCCCTGGAAGACCTGTATGACCCTGGGAAGCAGACAATACAACACATTGCAATACAAGTAACTCAGGATGTCATGCTCAGCAAGCTATAGATTTCCTTGTAAAGACCATCTTGGGAGGTGCTGGGGGCCTCCAGCTTCATTGACGTGACCTAGACAAAGGATACTCAGCAATCCTCAGATCAGACTTTAGGGAGCTTTTCTTATTTATATTCTCTACTCCAAACTGCAAGTGGGAATTACATATTGTTTAAACATTTCTGCATATTCAGTTCACTGATTTATTACTATATGTCTATCTGTATTATCTGTGTGACTTAAACAGGATATTCCATGTCAAGGACTGTCTCTTTCTTATTTCAGCAAACCAATTGCATCAGTGATTAGCATGAGTTACCATCCAATTTGTATTTGCTCAAAGACTGAATACAATTCATGAATGATTATTGGGATTAGATTTACAAAGAAATAGTGCTTGAATTTCAGAGAAACATGTTAATTCATTCAGTATTACAGAATCACAGAATTGTTTAGGTTGAAAGAGACCTCTTGAGATCATCTAGTGCAATCCCCCTTCTCAAGCAGGGCCAGGTAGAAGAGGTTGTCCAGGACCATATCCAGTCAGGTTTTGAGTATTTCCATGGATGGAGACTCCACAACCTCTCTGGGCAGCCTGTTCTGGTGCTCAGTCATCCTGACAGTAAAAAAGCATTTTTTTGTGTTCAAAAAGAATTCCATGTGTTTCAGTTTGTGCCCTTTGCCTCTTGTCCTGTCACTGGATGCTACTGAGACAAGGCTGGCTCTTTCATCTTCATTCCCTCCCATCAGGTATTTATACATTTTAAGATCACTCAAGCCTTCTCTTCTCTAGCTCACAAGTCCCAGCTCTCTCAACAACTCCTCATACAAAAGATGCTCCAATGTGTTCTAAGAGCTCATCAGTGCAGTGAGGCACCAGCAAGTGCATCTCTGCACACTTGTGAGAGAAGATGATACTTCTGCTACATGACTCTACATGTATGCATAGCATGCCATGTTCAAATAAAAAGAATAAAAACAAGAGGTATTACCCTGTAGCCCTCATCACCAGGTTCTCCTCTATCTCCACGTTCACCACTAGGACCCTAGAGAGAAAACCAAAGAGCAAAATATAGCAGCTGAACTGAAATAACGCTTCAGTGAAGTACAAAAAGAAAGCCGGGATTTCTCTTGAAACAGACTAACCAACAAGATAGAACTGAGGATTACAAATATTAAAGTTAGTTTGTCTAAAGGAATAAACATGATATTTTTCTAAACAAAATGCATTGCAGACAGACAGTAGACACTAAAATACTTTGTAACTGAAGACTAGAAACTAAAGATAGATCTTACATGTGCATAAATGAAACAGGAATATTGACCTCAGTAGAACTTCTCCAGGTTTATACCCATACATATACGATATCTGAATTAAAAATCATGAATAAATGAAGAGGCTTTGTTTTCAAGACGTGCAAGGAAAACTCTCTTATAAACTCTGTAAGACAACACATGAAAAATGAGGTTCTTTTCTGAAATGACTTGATGTACTCAGAATCTGCTTTAATTTTGAAGCTCATCCTAATAAAAAGGCAATTTTGATCCCTCAGCATGCCTCACACATGTAAGAACTGCACAGGATCAGAGGGAATGGCATGATTTTTCTGAGTCATGTTGTTCTTCCCACTGCATTCAGACACCTCACTGGCTCTACTTTAGAGGAAAGGCCCATGCTCCAGTCCCACAAGAAATGGGATTTTTCCCCAGAATTTTAACTCTCATTGCAGCAAATGGACCAAATCTCAGTCAAAGGAAAAATGATGGGATAAGGAATCATACCCATAGAAAATAAGAATAGCCAAGGCCTTTCAAAAGACATCCAGCCAATCATTAGGTAAAATAATAAGGGATTGCCTTTTTCCCATCTATGTCTCAAGTAAAGGCACATAATAAAAAATTGGCCAGGAATCACTTCACTGCAATGTATTTTTACAGTTTACAAATTAATAGATTAGCCACTGCTAGTGCATATCCACCAATAGATACTATTATGCAACTGCTTGTATACTCTCCAAGGTTTCAGCAATCTCATGGCAGGTTTCCTAGAGGGAATCCACAAGATAGAAAGGAAAGGCCCTGCTTGCAACGTTTGAGCACTCAGCATTACAGAGCCAGTGTGGCTACAGCAGAATTGGCTGGACTCTTCTCTCATGCATTTCCATAACTAAGTTAAGAACCTAGTCCAGACTCTGTCTTCAGTTACATCAGGGTCTTATAGTCCTGCCTTTTGAGGAGGTGAGGTATAAATATTAAAGTTAATCTGAAGAGAAGTAGGCTGTACAAGTATTACTTCTGGCACGATCAAAGTCTGAACATGAAACGCTTGTAATAAGATTTTGAGATGGCGTTTTTTTTCCATGTTCGTAATTGCTGCAGAGAGATATGCCACATACAAATTTAGTAAAAAATGGTTACAAAAGGCAGCTCTCTGAAAGGCAGCTCTCTGAATTAGCTAAGTTAGCTTTGTAGTGATAATGAAATAAGTAGAAACATATTTCTGGTTAGTAAAGGAATTAGGTATAATTTGGGATAAACACAGAGTGAAATTCTGTTCAGAAAGTGCTGGTGTAAACACAGACTAATGGCATTAGTGTAATTAAACACAGGGTACACACTCTTAAGCAGGAAAGAGCACATGACTGCATTTTTCAGAGGGGGATTACTGATTAAAGAACCATCATTCTACATTTTTGTACGAGGGGGTACTGACTTCTGAGACAGTGATACAAAGATTCAGAAAGAGCCGGCATTGTTTCTTGTCTTGAGAGGCACTAATAGAATTTTTTTGAGAAAGAAAGACCTACTGGTTCACCTATGGGCCCAGGTGGTCCAAGAACTGTATTGTCTTCACCTGGGTAGCCCTAAAACAAAGGCAAATATTAAAAATATTAGCTTGGAAATTCAACCTCAGCTACAATGCACACATGTTCAAATGCTAAAAGCATGCTGCTGTATAGATGCTAGAAGTGAATATAATGCTTATGGCTTTAATACAATGGAAATGGTAACTCCATTTTAACATGCACCTAAAACATGTCCTAAAGACATTTAGGATTAAACAAACCTAAGTGTTTGCTCTATTCTAAAAGGCAACTATAAAAAAAAAGTATTTGAACAATGCCCATGTAATAATTTCTTTACTTAATGAAAAAAAGGATAAACAGGATATTTGACAAGAGGAAAAAAGAAAATTTCTTCCTCTTTTTTGAGAAATATACTTAATACAGACAAGTAAGTGTACAAAAAACTCCAACAATCAGCCTGAACTCTATTAAATTTTAAATATGAAACAACTGCCACCCAAACAAACAGATAAAAAGTTATCTATTCCAGATTATATTTACCAATATTTAATGCAGAGAGGCTCACATTTTAAATATGATTAAGGGTTTCCAAAGTGCAAAGTGCTTTTTCAGAAGTTATCAAGCAAGCTAGACACCTAGCTCCCAACAATTTAGTTTTCAGTTATTGTTTCTGAAAATTATATCAGAACCTATTTATAACATCACTAATTGCCTATTAGCAGAATTCACTGCAAAACTGGCCCTAATATAAGAATGTATTTCTCTGTTAGGTGCAACTCCAAACTAATCTTCATGAAGGGAATCCCTGTACCTGCTTGGGGCCACACAGACTTCAGTCAGCATACAGATCTATTTGCAGGATTTAAGGCTTAAGAAAAACAGTGACTTTGAGACTAAAATAGCAGCACTGAGGCAAGATCCTGCCCCTAACATTTTATATTGAATATAGACCTTTGTCCATCTTAGTTAGACTTTCAGCAAAATCTGTGGGTATACTTGCAGGCTTAAAGCTAAGTAAATACTTAACTGGTTCCACACTGATTATTTCTGTCAGCAGTGCTCACTAAGGGCAGTGGTGCTGTCTGATACAATAGAATGTGTTTCTTACAATAGGTACCTTGTGTTTTAAAAACTGAAACATTTCAACTGTATAATTCAGAACTCTGCCTCTGAATGATCCATTTCCCCAGTTTTGCACTTCTTTTCTTATTGTCTCACAATACTAATAAATATTGCAAACAGTGGCATTTGCTGCGTGCTGTGGAAAACAGTGAGGGTGCAGTAACATTTCCCCCCTTTATAATTACTCAAACTGTAAGATAGTATAATCCATCTTCAGACCTTTTCTCCTTTGAGTCCTGGGGGTCCTGGGGGCCCCGAGGGACCTTGGTGACCCTAAAGAAGCAAACAAAAATTAGTTCCAAAACAAATAATTAAAGAAATAATTAATTCCAAACTTTCTTTTAGGTGCTTGATACTGTTATTTGTTTGCTGCTTGCAATAATGCTGATTAGTAATGTGGCACAAAATTAATGAACCCAGGCAGAAAAGCTCTGTACTCAGTGGGAAGCCAAAGGTTCTGGCAAGGCTTGATGCAGGTGAGGGGAGCTGGGCTGGTTCTTGCTTCAGGGTTAGGGCCACTGATCGAAGTTTCTGTTCAGAAAAAAAGACATGGGAGTCTGGTCTGTAAGAGCAGCGCTTGTTCTATCTATGATGATGATGATCATTATTTTTCACTGAAAGTCACAATATCTTTACATCCTTCAACTAATCTCATTCAATCAGCATTTCTGTTACTGAAAGGGAAACTGCCTTACCAGACAGTAAGCAAAGGTGGTGGTGTTTGCTGAACTCTTTATAATGAATAGTTGTAGTAGTTTTATAGGAACTTTATTCACATAGAGTGCATTGGACAAACAAGGGTTTCAAATCTGTGATAAAAAACAGCAATCATTGCTTAAGGCTAACATTTCTGAGTAGGCAATCAGATGATATATAAATATATGTCAGTATCTGACACTTCTAAAGATATTTGTGTATTCTAGATATACATCCCCATGATAATTGAAATTACTTGGAGTACCACAGACTTACCTTAGGGATGTATGTGTACATGAATTCAGCAAAAAACTCACCCCATAACCTGGAATTCCTGGCTCTCCTTCAGGTCCCATTCCTCCTAGATGTCCCTGTTAAATGCAATAATCAGTGATAGAAAAATGAGCTCCCTTGTAAAATGTTACAACATTTACTTTATAAAGTTATCACTTGGAAAAATCTTCAAATATTGAGATTTAAGAACTACAGACAACTTCCTTGTTAGGTCCAGCTTCATTTGGTAAAGAATATTGGGCTTTCTCCTGATCTGTGGAAACAATGGTCAACATTTTCAGTCAGAACCTTATAATTTCTGTGCACAATTAAGATCAAAAGGATCTGAGCTTTCAGAGATGTGGAGGAACTCTGTTTATAAATGCTGAGTATGCCAAGAGAAGCTGAGGGTGGTCCTCACCTTAGAAAGTTGAGTTCAAGTCCTTCTCTTGAAGATATTGGACATTAGATAGTTACTTAACTTCTGCACTTTGTGTGTGCAGGGACATCGTGCTGCATTCAATGGCCACAGGATTGGGCCCTGGAACAGTGAGATGGGCATGTTGCCTCACTAGTGTGGAGGCTGCATGTACCTGTGCATCTATCACACTGTGTGGAGCAAGCCTAGGGATCTTGTGATGAGAAGAGCTCATAAAATTAACGGAAATACATTTCGTTAACTTTGTATCAAGTTACCATGCCACTCATGTGAAATGCTTTGTTTCAGCCATGGCTAAGGCTTATTTTATGTAATAGCAAATCCCATGATTTCTGTTCTTGGAACTGGAGAGGTTTAAGAAGCAGCCATAGCAGTGAGGTTATATGTAGACTGTGGGGCATGAATATTCCATGGCATACTCTGCCATCCTGACATCCAGATCAGGAACCTGACCAGAGCATAAGATGACTCCCTCCAGGTCCCTGGAGCAGGTTCCTGTCTGGAAACGTGCACAGGTCTCATTCTGATGCTGGAATACCAGGGCATGCATCAAGATGCACAGGCTGGGAAAGACACTGCCTGCAGGCCCAGCTACCACAAAAAATATTTATATGTGCTACAGCTGTGACTTGCTGCTTCTCATTGAGAGACACGATTCTGCTAAACCAGAAATACGTGAACTCTTAAATACACATGTTTTGTACAAACCAAGGGACCTCGAGTTCCTCTTGCACCTTTGGGACCAATTTCTCCAGGTTGGCCAGAGTCACCAGCAGGTCCAATTTCTCCAGGAGGGCCAAGCTGTCCCTTTTCCCCCTGTTGATGTTATTGTATTAAAAATAATAAGATATTGATACTAGAGTTTCAAAATGCAGTTTATGCTTAACCAAAGTGTGTAACAGCATTATGTCATTTACTGTAGTTCTTAGAATGTCTGAACCCAGAACTTTGCAGTGAAAAAAACTCTGCTAAAGCCTGTTTACTTTTTTTTTTTTTGGTTTAGCCAAAGCTTAACAGTTTTTGATAGCAGTAGAAACTCTTCTGAGTTGCAAAATCACACCCTGATACAAATTTAAATTTTATAAGGTCCTGAATGTTACTGACTGCAGAAAAATGACAGTTCTAATTGTTATGGCTAGGAAGAAAAAAAAATTGGCTTGAAGTGAGACATAAAACAGGTAGACTTGGTTCAATGGAATTATTTTGTAATATAAATTCAAGTTTCAGATAAAAGGAAGGAAATTGGGGAAGATGAAAAATACTACCTTCTTTCCCGAACGGCCCCTCTGGCCTGGATTTCCTGGTGTTCCTTCGGGACCCTGTACATTTATTAGGGAGAGAAAAAGAAATGATTGGGAAAGGCCCTGGAAACATGTTTAAACTGTGCTCCAAATTGGATAACTGAGCAGGCTTTTGTAATGCAGAGAAGTCAGAGGAAAAATCTCATTAACTGTGGCTGCGAGCAAGCTAGTAGGACTGTTTTGAGTTACAACAGAAATACGTGGGCAAGCATCAGGGATCACTTATCAAACTAGTGAAAATGCACTGAAAATAGGGGGAAAAAACCCATAAATCTTGTCCACACAGAAAAATATTGCTTTAGGAATAAAATTGCTTCAAGACAACCACTGGATTGAGAGAAATAAAATACACAGCCAGAGGAAAACTAAGAAAACCTTGGAGCTGTCAAGTGTGAAGAGCAGGGCCATGACACAATGTGCTGCAGAGCAGAGACCTAACTCAGTAAGTGCTGGTGCCTACCACTGCCTGCCTCTTGGTGACTGTGTAATTGGGCGTGCTGCCTGCAGATGAAGGGTGCTATGGAGCTACAGCCCTGCTGCCCTCTAGGTCACTTCAAAAAACTGATCCTCCCAAAGGTCTGGATGTGTCCACCACACACTGGTTTCAATTTACCCATAAGCTCTATGAGGTAGAAGAGGCAATTTAGCTTCAGTTTTTGATAAAGGGAGATATATTTGGGTTTTTTGAGTCATTGTGGTCATAAACCGGAGTAAATATAGTTTAAACTGATTCGTGAAGATCATTTGTTGCTTTGTAAGCTTTTGTTTAAGGAAAATGTAGTATTACTCTCACTCCCAATAAAACCCTGAGACAATTGACTATAGGAAACTGATTGCCATGTTTAGACACAGATGTCGTGATCTGTCCACATCCCTAGAAGGAAGTCAAACCAAAACCATGATGTGAACGCTCCCAGACGCCAGGGAGGATGAGTGGGGAGGGAGGCAGCTCTGTAGCCGCCTTTGGAATGTGTGGAACAGAAACGTGAAAAATCCCCTGTTAACCACATCCTCCCAAACACTGAACTGCCAGACCTGCCTGTTTAACTGAAGCACAGCAGCACTGCTGATGTTGTTTACTGTATACAAGTATAATTACATACACTGTAGATATGCCATGGCTGAGCTGTTTTATGATAATTTCAGCGTATGAAACTTTTGATCTCCTCCAGAATTGCCAACCCAAAACAGAAAATAAAGTCAGAGTGATATCATTGTACCAGAAACAAAAATTGTTCTGTAGCACACTAAGTGTGCCGACAACTAAAAGCATTTTTTCTCCTTCACTAGGAGAGTAGTTCACTGTGAAGAACTCAGGATTAAAGAAAGCCTATTGTAACACTGATGCTTAGAGGACAGAGGGGACAGTGCTCACAGCCGTTGACAGCTGGCCCTCCAACTAATGTTTACTCAGACTCCATCATCACATAAAAGCTACAGATAAGGCAGCCAGAGGACTGAATGAGAACATGACGATTTTTGTTAAGGGAATCTGATGTCTGACTTGAGGCTACATACTTGCTTTGGAAACTGTGCTCCAAAATACTAGTTCACATTAAGAAGTTGCATAAAACTTCAGCAAAATAGATTTTATAGGTGGATTTTAGCTGCTAGGAGTGATGCCAAAACAAATACGTGAACTGATCTAACAGTGTTGACTACGAATCCCAATGCTCCTTTACTGTTTGACCTGGGTATGCTTGTAAAATGCTGCCGTTTCTCTCCATCTGCAATCTCTGTTTCAGTTGTCTATTGCAACTGGTGTTCTCATGATATGTTTATTGAATTCCTTTCACAGAGGCACCAAAATGAAGTTAGTTAAAGAATAAATGTCTTTTAAGAACAAAAGGTTATAATGAAATTCTCTTTCTTCTCTCTCCTTACTTTTTACAGTATATGCTTCATTACAGGGTGATTGACACGGTAAAAAGAGAAGGTCCACCAAAGACATGACATCACACCATGGCACAGAATTATCATCTGAAGTAGCGCTGCCCAACGTGATAGATCCTCATTTCTGGAAGTCAGTTCCAGTGCAGGATGGACAACACCTATAACATTGTCTTTAGAACACCTGGGCAGCAGCATAGAAAGACCCCTGTCAGGAAAGGCAGGCCATCCTCTGATGACAAGTGATCAGGAATCAACATCAGGAATAATTTGGATTACCCGATACCTATTATGTGATACTGGTTTTAAGTCACTTTTGACCTGCCTTGTATTCCTTTACCAGAGAAGGTGCTATAATCCACACCAACACTTCAAGAAATCCTTGCTGTTGGTGTCTGTGCTGCAGTAATTTTATAACTAAAGAAACCTCAATGTTCAGGATATCACTTTTTCTAGAAGTGTTATTTTTAGACCTTCCTTTTGTTGCTAAGGTTTATTAAAAGGAATGGCAGGTAAGCATGTATGCGGTAAGAACATTAAGCACAAAATCTTAAATGGGAGACAAATCTTGTGTCTTCTAAGGTCTTACACTTCGTCATTTAAAAGCTGCTCAAAATGGCAGTTCTTTGCCCCAAGGAACTTTTCATCTAAACTAAAAACTAGGGAGCCCTGGGACAGTAAACAAAGCCATGAGGAGGGAAAGCAATACAAAACAATGAAAGACCTTACACCACAACCTATGGCAGTATATGCATCTTGCCAATTTCGTTGTGTGTTTTTAAAATTTAAAGAATGATCTAATACCTTGAGATTGATCACAGTCTCCAAATGAAGGTGAGGATAGATACTAATGACAGAAGGTTGTCTGGAGAGGAGAGATCTGAAGTGAGAGGCTCCAGGTTCTATGGTGTATGTGTCTGGGTGACAAGTGGTTGGGAATCACTATCTGCTAAGAAGTCCTAGATTTAAGATAGGAAAAACACTTGTCTCCTCTCTTTACCAACCCCGAAAAACTGAACCACTTAGAAAAAGGAGGCAAGCTAATTTAAAGATGGTCATCTCTAATTGCAATAGAAAAACAGAGAATAAAAAGTAAAAGAAGCAAGCAAAATTAAAAAGAAAATAATTACACAAAGCAAATGAACAAGAAGTCTACTTAAACTTGAAAAAACTTACAGGACTGCCCATTATGCCAGGTTCACCAGGGGGTCCAGAAATTCCTGGTAATCCCATTTCTCCTTTTTCACCACCTTCACCAAGAAGTCCCTGGTCTCCAGGGTCTCCCTAAAACAAAGCAAAAAAAAAAACCCCACAAAAAAACCAGCTTAGTCAATCTGCTGCTACAGAATTACTTATTCTTGAGAAAAGTGAATTCTGAATCTTCAAGTTTGACAAAAAGCAGACTAAAACTGATGGGAACCTTACCAGTCAAATTCAGTTCAGGCTCCAAGTGAGGGTAAAGCCCATTCTATATCATCCATACATTCCTATAAGCCAGATTTTGAGATTTTGCCTCATCCATTGCCAACTACCTGAGGGTGTTGTCTGTGACATCCCCTGTCCTGACACCTTCCACAGTCCCTAGCACAGCACTGATCCAATGCAGGGAGTGCGTCAGCCTTGGGCTCGCTCTCTCCAGCATAACAGCCACCACAGAAATAAGCTGTACTCAGTTCTCCAGCTTGCATTTCTCTGTCAAACTATTCAACTTTGTAGTCCTTGCAGGGTAGATATGTGCCTAAAAGGCACAGGAAAGCCTATAATATACAGAGCCTCCTATGTTAAAACTAAGTGCACGCAACTGGTCTCTGTTGACCTCTTGAAATAGGAAAAAGAAAAAAAAAAAAAAAGAGATTTGGGTCCTTAAGCTAATATGACTGCTTTACAACTGCTATAAAAAACAAATGTACCTTTGGGCCATCTTTTCCTTGAACACCGTCTTCTCCTGGAGGTCCTGGTTCACCCTTAGAGAAAGAAACAGTTGAAAACAAAGTTATTGCCTAAATTTCACGGCATAGAAGTATTGCCTTGGAAACTCAGACTAGTTTTACACATGCTTATTATCTGTTGGATGACTTTCATGTTGCTGTTATAGTTTCTTTTAATTTTTCACTGATTTACAGTGACAGTCACAGCCCTGTGAATCTCAAACACAGGAAAATATAGAAGATAATCACCATTAGGAAAATCAGGCAATAGTATGTCCATATAACACTGGAGATTTGGACAGTGGCCAGTGGCACTGAGATTTTTTGGTTTCAGAGTATACAACATGTAATCACATTCACCTCAAAAATATACCTATTCTGTCCTGAAACTTCCATGTTTATGTGGATAATTACTATATTGGTATGTTTAGTGACTCAGTTTAGGGCCATGAAAAACTCATCATTCACCAACAGTATCGGCACCATGGCATTTTAGAATATTTGCCTTTCTCAGGTAAAGACACTGACAACTTGCAACTTTTGATGTGGACAGTAAAAAAGCAAAAATGAGCTGCCCTATACCAATACCACCAGATATAGTGGTGTGTTTGAGTCCAGAGCACCCACTGTGGACCAGTACCAGGAATTACTCTTCTCCAAGGACAGGCAGAACCGTAGACTACACCTCACTGGAGATTTTGGGCGGGCAGAAAAGATGACAGCAAGGAGCTAACAGAACAAGAGAGCTCAAAGTCTTAAGTCTGAAAGGATATAGTTTATGCTCTTTTAAAAGCGTCATGGATAAAATCTGTTTCTAGTACTTTAAAAGTTATTGTCAGCCTTGAAAGGTAGGCAAATGTTTGGGTCAGATGAGGGGGGTAAGGCACACAAGAAGAATCAGCAAGAGCACAAGTGCTTGGTGAAATCAAGTGCTGAATGAGCCATCCACAGCACCAGAAGCAACTCAGCTGCTTTAGATGGTGGTACAGAGGGGTGCCCTACTCCGCTGAGACTATAAGGTTCCCATTATCTCCCCTAGAGACTGGATATCTGTACACAGCATTACTGTGTGTTGTTGTCTTAACAGCTGGGCTGGACACCCTTGGATTTTCCTTCACGCTCAAACCACTCATGTCTCTCAGTGACATGAGACACTTAGAAATATTTCAACATTATAATCAACACTCTGTTTAACTTGCTACAATATTACAATTTTTAAAAAAGGTATCAGAAAATAGCTTTTTATTGAATTCTTCCGATATATCAAGGTTTGTCAACCTGCATTTCTGACACATTTGTAACATACTGTTCTTTTTGGAAGGAGATTTGCATCCATAGCTTACCCTTAAACCTTGGTCACCTGGTTCTCCAGCCTTCCCAGCAGGTCCAATGTCTCCCTGGAGTATCACAAGAATAATACATCATTGAATTTTAAGGGATAATATTCCCCAAAATGACAGGGTTATAGATAATGCTGTCGTCATGACAATAACAGTATTTCTTAATGGCTCATTTTCTGTATCACTACCTACTTGGCTAATGAGACAGATCGCTCTGATTTGCTTTTATGGAAATTTGAAAATTTAAACAGCATAAGAGAGAGTAATTTCAACCCTTACCTTTATGCCGGGTTCTCCCTGCAGGCCAGGTTCTCCTTCAGGGCCAGGAGGTCCCTGCATGGTACAAGAGCTACTGTTACACGTGGTCACCAATGATAATTTTGCAACCACCAAGTAATACAGCCAAAATTGAAGCAGAAAAATGACATGAGACACTGGGAAAGATGCATGTCTGAAAAATCACATAAAGACAAAACAGTTCTTTGTTCTTACTAGAGCCCAACAGAAGAAAAGAAAGGAGGGTACAGGAGGAGTTCAGGAACTACACTGTGGATCAGGAATGTATTGAAGACTCAGCAGTACCACTGAGCCTGTACCTTTCACCATAAATTACTAGCAGGCTGAGCAAACATCTATCTTTTGTAATTCTGACTGACAACTTCATCACTGTTTAGGCTTGGAGCCAAGTAGATAGAGTCTTTGGAGAACAAAGCCCTTTTTGGAGTCTTCAGCCCTTAAAGAGTTAATGGTATCAGATTGCTTCCTGTAAAGTTTACATTTAAATCCTTTTTTAATAGTCAGTCAGAAGACTTAATTTTGGGTGACTGAGGAAGTGCATTTCTTTGAATAAGCCAAATCCCTTCTGTTCCAAGTGAGCTCATCCCTCAGCTACTTCATTGCAAATGTGGCTAATACATTCTGTCATATTTCTTTCAAAGAGATATTAAAAACAAAGTAAAAAATAGAAGCAAAATTTAGTAAGAAGACTGCCTGCAGCTACTTTTCTTCATCTACTATTTGCAAGGACATATGATTAATGTTGTTGCACTAAGTGCAAGGAGAATAATGCTTCAAAAAAAAAAAAACCCAACTCAACTAAACATTCACCTTCTAGGTGCAGATGTCATGAATGTATGCTCAAAGACAGTGATCACAACAGAAAAAAATACTTATTTTAGACATTGATTTTGGTAACAGTGTTAAGTAAGAGAGTCTCTCAGCAGCTGCAGGTAATTAAAAAAAGTTTCTAAACACATTGTCCAGGCTTATTCAGTTGCTTGAGTGTTTGCAATTAGTACATAAATGGTTAAAAGCTCACCTCAAAACCCATTTCTCCAATAGGGCCAACATCCCCTGGTTGTCCTCTTGGGCCCTGGCATTAAGCAGAATTTTGGATGTGTCATTCAATTAACATTAAATTGCATTGTATAGTCTTGACTTTGTCATAAATGGCATAAAGAAGTGTATTTCATTGTCTTTCCTCTTGAATCCAACAGTGTAAGTAAGTACCATGATGGCATACTGTACCGAAGGCCTCATTGCCAGTCTTGACACACTGAAATAACAGATTTCAAACAATAGCACAGATATCTCTTCTTTTAGACCAAAAGTAAATTATTATCTAAACTAAGCTCTCTGCTTGATTAACTGAGACTTAATTAAGGTTTGTTAGACTGTCTGGTTTGCTTTGTGGAAAAGCCTACAGTCTGGTATGGCATTAACTGAAAACAACTACTGTGTGCTTCACTACGGATTTAGCAATGTTTATACAGGACAATCGCTGAGGTGTAATGGACTGAAGGCTGGAGCCTTTTTGGTAATATTACTAACTACACTACGAGCATTTTCTTATAAGCCCTACCATAAGTAACAGATTTATTGCAGTAACATGTAGGGATCGTTTCCTGAAGTGGCATGCTCAAATTCTCTGCACATGTTAGATTGTCCATCTCTGCTCACAGAGTGGGATTTGTGTGCTGGGGGGTAGAGGCTGCCTGTAACAGCTTACAGCTGACTCCATAGCCACTATGAATGTCAAGACAAATCAACTCTCTGGATGTATCCAGTCTTTGAACTTTCAGAAAGTTCATATCCATTTACCCCTTTGGGACTCATCTCTGTTTAAGTACATTCTAAATTCAAAACATTTTGTTGATCTGTTATTCTCATGTAAAAGAAAGATGCTGCTACCCATATTTATGATAGAAGCCTTTTAAGCAAATATTTACTCTTTCTTGTTTCACTTCCTCTTACAGATTATGCATACGGTTTTGCTCCTTCTGATGACTTGGCAGTGATTGTGCGAGTATATTCTCTCCTTGTAGCAACAATGTAAACTGCATATTACTGAGAGGATTTCAGCAGATGCATATATTTTACTCTATAGCTTCATTTAAATGTGAACAACTGAAACTGCAGTTTATTTCCCATTGAGAATTCACTTTGTCCTAAAGTAAGTCCATCAGTTTTCATTTGCAGTGACTCCATGGCATTCCCCTAGGCAAGTGTGAATCAAACTTCAGCTTTGTGACAAGTCAAGTATTTCTTTGTAATATTACCATGGAGCTAAGTCTGCTGGATTGGTAATGTATCTTTCCTCTGAGACTTTCAGGAAATTTCAGAAGCCAAAATTTCATTGCAATATAAGGACTCCTTTTAACCATTAACAACAGGTAATTTGCAAAGAAGGATTTTACTGACAAGTAGGTAAAGTTAGAGTGTAATTTAGATCAAGCCTGTTACTACAGATAGTTCTAATTGCTTACATTCCTCTGCTCCTCCACCAATAATTAGGTCTTTTCTGCTCTGTGCAGAACTAGTGACAGGGCCAGAGAAACTGCTTCAGCAGCTGACTTCCACGTAGTGACCAGCTGACAGAAGATGAAATCAAGCTGCTTGGATGGGCAGTTAGAAGAAGAGCCATGCGTTTCATTTCGTAACATCTTGTGTCATTTTCATCACTTCTTTCTAGCCCCACAGACCATTTTCCAAAGACATTTTACTCTTTCAGCACTTGAAACAAAAAGTTACCCTGTCCACAGGATAAGCTTTTCTAACTTCTGACACTGCATATGTAGATTCTATGATGATGAGCACAACAGAGATGCAGGTTGCTCAAGAGCAGACCACTTAGATTGGATAAGGCTGATAGTCATTCTATATATATCTGAAAATTCAGACTTGATCAGAAAATGGCAGGAATTTTATGTATAAGTCTTGCATTTTAAGGTTCTCTGATATCACAACATGAATATTACATAAGTAAAAGATGTAAAGTGACAGGAATCCAGTAATAACCATTAGAAAACACATTTTCTGTTGAGACATTTTACCACTCCTAGAAGTTGGCAGCTGAAGTTAAGTAGGTAATTATATCCAAAAGAAAATTTACCAAAATAAAACCTGTTGTTGGCTGTTGGTATTTTTCTAGCCCCCAAAATTATGCAGTGGCTTTCTATAAGCATGCACCGATTAGTCGAAATAATATTTAATAATATTATAAATAATAATAATTAGTAGAAACAATACACTCTATATCAAAAGTTCACTTTCAAGACTTAAATTAACTATATGTCATTTGATGTGCAAAATAACTTTTCAGAAGCAATGAAAACACACATTTTTTCACAACTCTTAGATTTCTGCACTACAAAATGGCAGCCTTCTCCCAGGTTCCCCTACGACAGCAAACACCATTTCACTTTATTTATATAATCTGATTTACCCCCCGAGATAGTGATGCAATAGTATTCTTGTCATGGCTACACCTTGCAGCACTTTGCATATATTTGCTGCAGATCCTGCATCATCTTCTGTGACAATATTAGCCACATGAAAGCGAGTGTGGCTTTGAAATAATAACCATCAAAACAAGAATCCATACAGCAGAGAAATATCTGAGGTTTATTATAACAGCCTCTCTTTTGTTGAAAATGTAACCTGCCAAATAGATGTAGTCCCTGAGTTCCTAAATAACCATCCTAAAATCTGCCTGAAAAAAATACCACTAATATCTGTAGTGGCACATTCATTTACATAATCCATAATGTAGATGTCTACCTCAATGCAGCATAAAGCCACATAATACTGTGGTCCAGATTCTGTCATGCTGTCTTATGTTGTGCATCCCTTTACAGCGCTTCCAACGTGATTAACAGGTCTCCTTATGAACAAGTTACACTAAGCAAGGAGGCAGACTTTAGCCCTGCAGTTTTGGAACAGCTACCCCACAATTCCAGCTGGCAACACTGAATCATGGTAAAAGGGAGCTTGAGTTACCAGGGAATTCATAATAATATGTGGAAAAATTTTCAAGCAGGCATAAGGATCAACTTACTGGCTCTCCCATTGGTCCCCTGTCTCCTGTGGTTCCGGGAGGCCCAAGCAAACCCTGGAAGATTAAAATAAAATAAAAAAATCATTGGAAACAAGCTGTTTCATATTCTGTGAAAAGCCACTTCTTCTCTTATTTCTGCTCACTCTATAACTTGCTCAGAAATACCCAAGAAATATGTGTAGCCTTTTCTTCTGGTTGATGCGCATTGCCACATCACTAGCTCCTGTGGTACGTGAGGGAGCCCGGAATAAACCCTTCCTCAGTTTCTTTTACATAGGGGTGGATCTTAGCTGAGCCACTATTTTCCTGTTCCTTATCACTCTCCTTAGACTCATGTGCTGCTTGTGCACGCAGACTGGGCCTAAACACAACGTTATGAGTGTCCTGCCCTACAAGCTGTATTGAGATGATCAATAAGGTTCACAGCCCACTTTTCTTTCTGTTCAACCAGGCTTACAGCATATCTGTCTCATACTCTTTTCTAGAAACTGTAGCTGTAGGAGGAATAGAGCAGTATCTTGTACTTTTAAATAAATGTACAAATTCCCATCATTTCATCCTAATGAGGTTTTGCTTCATTCATTTCTGTATATATAAATATATCCAAAAGTCCTAGTGAATAAAGAGGAAACGAAAATCCATCACGTCAAAGGTGAGAGGTATCAAGCTCCTGAATCTAAGCGGAACAGGCAAGAGAAGTACAGTGACAAATGACATTTTAAATCCCAATTTCTGCACAAAATCACCACCATTACCGCTTTGTTTCTGCTTTTCTACTTCCTTCTTTACTGAAAATCCAATACAGTTTGGACAGACTGGTAACTTTCTTTGTAAAAGAAAACCTGAAATAGAACATGTCAGATTTCCATTGAAAGAAGCCCTAAAAGGAAGAATTTTCTCCTATACGTGTGATACACATTTTTCTGTATTCATCCCAACACTGATAGTACACAACTACTCCAAAACCTATGAAAGAATTGTTTCTCTATGTCACAATGACCTT